GCTCAATAATCTGTTCAGACAAAAAACACATTCATTAAACAAATAAATAACTGAAAGTGAGAATTTAAAAAATGGGTCAAATCTTTACAGGCATTGTTTTTCACTACCGAGCAATATCTACCCGATATACCTTGACATTTGAGATGGCAAAGGCAGCCTGCATCCAGAACAGTGCTGTTATTGCAACTCCCGCACAGTTGCAAGCTGCCTTTGATGATGGATACCATCAATGTGATGCTGGTTGGCTTTCAGACCAAACTGTGAGGTAATGTGAAAAGGTCAATATCTAATAACAATATAAATAAAAACCACTCACAAACATGGGTGGTTAGAGGCAGGTGTACAGGACACAGTGGAATACAGTGAATACAATGGAAACAATATTAATATATTTAAGAAATATTTAGTAGATTACTAAAGTAAATTAATAATTCTATACAATTCTCTATAGGTATCCCATTCATGAGCCAAGGGAGCCCTGCTATGGAGACAAAGAAAATTTCCCAGGGGTACGAACATATGGAGTCAGAGACATCAATGAGACCTATGATGTGTACTGTTTTGCAGAGAAAATGTCAGGTACTTCAGGCAGTGTTTCCAAACTGTAATGTAACCAGTTGGTGCATTTTGCTGTGTTTTTACTTTATGGATTCTTCTCATCACCCAGGCAGTGTGTTCTACTCTATGTCTGTGGAGAAGTTCACCTTTGCAGAGGCTGAAGACCAGTGTGCAAAGTTGGGAGCCCAATTGGCCACCACAGGGCAACTCTACCTAGCATGGAAGGCTGGCATGGATGTGTGCAATGCTGGCTGGCTAGCAGACAGGAGTGTGCGGTACCCCATTAACATAGCTCGACCCCAGTGTGGTGGGGGGCTTTTGGGAGTGCGAACAGTTTACCTTTTTCCTAATCAGACTGGCTATCCATACCCAGACTCCCACTATGATGCGATCTGTTATGTAGGTAAGAATGTAATTCATATATTTTGTACTTTGTTTGCTAAATCACTTCACATTTACACACCTCAGAGCAACCATATCATAATGTCACTAAAAACAGAAACTCAAAATGGAAAAACGTATTACTCACCATTTTGTTGTTCCAAACTTTAGCATTCAACGAAGTCTGTGTCCTCTTATAATTCAAAAGAATGTCAATTCTCACAAGCATTCTATTAATTATTTTTCAGAAAAAGAAGATAAGGTTTCAACAAAGACCTCACCATTTCCTGAATTAGACACTACAACGGATTCCATGTTCAGTGTGGCTACAGTCACCTCAAGCCCTTCGGACTATACTGAAGAGATGACCACAGAAGGGGAGGTCCGTGGCCAGCTAGTGACAGATGAGCCTCTTAACACCACAATCAAAGAAAGTCCTCTACCTCTACCTCCCAACATAACTGAGGTTGAGGAGGACATCATCAATGTGGCCACAGCTCTGCCTTACCTGGGATATGAGATTCCCATGGACAATGTCACTGCTGGTAAGTAAACTAAACTGGATCCAGCGTACGAGATAGCCAAATGAAATTAGCAGTGTAAAAGCCCACACATCACTGAAGGTAACTGAGCTAAAGTAATTGAACCAAAACAAGGATCTGCAAGAGTTACAGGGACTAAATTAAAGGTGTCTCAACAAATTTTCAAAGCAAATATTAATCCCATGTGCAAACAGTAGAGTTTAAATATGGCCAAATCTTTCCTCACCCTAGAAATGAAGGGAGTAGTATTCCACTATCGCACTAACTCCAGACGCTATGCTTACACCTTTGAGGAAGCACAAGTGGCATGTCAGAAGCTGGGAGCAATCATAGCCACCCCTGAGCTTCTTCAGGCTGCTTATGAAGCTGGCCTTCATCAATGCAGTGCAGGTTGGCTACATGACCAGACTGTCAGGTGAACTTTTTTTTTTTACAAAGTGCTGCCCTATATGTTTCTAACTGCATTTGTTTTTTTATGTTGAATTAACCGGAATCCTGGATCAAATATTGTTGACACCTTATATAGCATTCAACACCGTTTTCAGGTATCCAGTTGTGCATCCACAAAAGAACTGCTCTGGAGACCAGGAGGATCTTCCTGGCATTCGCTCTTACAATGTTAGGCCTGCACATGAGCGGTACGATGTGTACTGCTACATGGACCAGATAAAGGGTGAGTACAAAATAATTCATGACATAATGATGAACACTTTTATTTAATCATCTATGATCTCACTGTTTGGTCTCTATCCCTTAGGGGAGATCTTCCATGTGAGTTCTTTAGCAGGCTTCACCTATTATGAAGCTGTTGACCATTGCAGAAAACTGGGTTCTACACTTGCCTCAACTGGAGAACTCTACGCTGCATGGAATCAGGGTTTCCACAAGTGCAGTCCTGGCTGGCTCTCTGATCGCAGTGTCCGCTATCCTGTCCGCAACCCAGGCTTTGGTTGTGGTGGAAACAAGACAGGAGTGCACACTGTTTATGCACAACCAAATCAAACAGGCTTCCCAAACCCATACTCCAGATACGGTGCATATTGCATCAAAGGTATAGAAACTTTTAAGCCTGTATTTATGAGTTTGTAATGAAAGGCAAGACTGGATGTTGATGTTAGAGATTATTGTTTATTTTTCAGCAAATCTGTCTATGCTGCTTGACGAAGATATGTTGAATGCTTCAAGGATGGGGATGGATCTTAACATGACGGACATAACAGAGCTGCTTAGACCTGGTATGAGATATGTTGGATAATCTTTACAGCATTACTGTCATATTTAAGCATGTCAACTTTCTGTGATGTGTGTTACAGTTCATCCAATTGTCCCTCCCTTGTTTGTGGACCTGTCTGGATCTGGATCAGGCTCAGGCTCAATATCAGGTGATCCTGATTCCAGTTCCGGGTACATGTCAGGGAGTGGCATACCCAGTGGGAGCATATCCGGTTCTGGCCAAAGTGGTTATGGATCAGGTCACCTTGTGAGGTACCAAGAAGGTGCAGATACAATCATGTGGCAGACTTCTGCCTCAGGCAGTGCTTTGGAGGTAAGAGAAGGTAGTGGCAGTGGTGTTATCATTACTTCAGGAATAGAATCAGGGGACCAAGAATCTGGAGAGGAGTCTGGACTCTTTCATGAACAAAGTGGAGCTAGTGGCCTTCCATTGGGACTTGGCAGTGGAATTAGTGGTTCAGGAACAAGTGGATTCTTCAGTGGTGTGGAATCGAGCGGATCAGGCTTCTTTGGTGTGTCATTTATAAACACAGAAATTATTGATCTGACTGCAAGACCTTCTGGAGAACAGGAATTGTCTGACGTTTCTCCTTTTGACTTGACTGATGTTAGTGGTTTCAGCTCTGCTCCTGGATCTGGCTCTGCCTCTGGATTTGGATCTGGCACCATCATTGACTTTGGATCTGGCTCTGCCATTGGCTTTGGATCTGGCTCTGCTTCTGGAGCTTCAGTTTATCCCAGTCATCCCTCAGGTGAGGTATCTGGCCACATTCAGAGTCAAGATGTAAAGATTATCATTCTAACGGACGATGAGGTTGAGTTGACATTTAGGCCTACAATCGGAACAGAACAGGGTCGTGGATCAGTGGAGATCAGTGGAGAGGGCAGTAGTCAAGAACATTATGCTGAGGACCTCTCCATATCTCTTTCTAATAGTACTTTATATAAAGATTATTGGAGTGCCAATGAAACCGTTGATCTCATACCAGAAAGATATGAGCAACTTAATGCCATCACAGAGGCATTTGATGTGACTGATCAGTCACCACTGAACACAACACCACCCACCCCCTCTATACTCACTACTTCTTCAGCTTCACTACAGACACCAAAAGCTATGGAGGAGCCATCTGTTACTGATGGTAATAACGTAACAAAACTTTAATTTAGATGTTATTCAACTGATGTACAACAACATACTTTTTAAAATTTTTAATTAAGATGAACATGTCTGTCTATGGCAGCTTCTGCTAACCCCTGTGATCCAAACCCCTGTGGTCAAGGTTTATGCTCTCTACAAGATGGCATTACAGTATGTCAGTGTCATTCAGGATTCAGTGGGGGAAACTGCTCAACACGTAAGTGAAAAGTCATAGAATGAGCATTTTAAAAATAACTGTCCACAAACACACCATCATGCTATGTATTCATTGTGACTGAAGGACTGTTTTAACCACCTTTGTCTTACTGCCTTGTTACTTCATACCGGCAAGTAAGGGTATAATCAAACCGGACTTCACAGGGATTTTGATTTTCTTATATGAAATTATAAACTATAGGGCGCACATATGAATGATGATTTACTAGGTCATTTGAAAGGAACTAATTTTGCCAAGGACACAGATATACCCTGCTCAGTGTGTGGGGAGCAGTGAAAACTGCATAGGGACCCTGTGAATTAGAATGCAGCCTGTCAGTCTTGTTAGTCTTCTGTAACTAGCCACCCCTTAAAGAACACATAATAAAAACTAGTCAAATTCATTGTCTCCTCTGTGTTATCAGTGGTACAGGGATGTGCTGAGGGGTGGATGGAGTTCATGGGCAGCTGTTATATCCATTTTGATGAGCGTGAGACCTGGACCAGTGCTGAGCAGCACTGTCAAGAGCTAAACTCTCACCTGGTTAGCATATCCTCCCAAGAAGAACAAGAGTTTGTAAAAAGTGAGTTTAATCTGATTTCTAATAAAAGACATGGACCTGCTTTTTTATCTAAATAAAAGTGCTTATACATTTCTAAACCACCTAGCTCAAGTTCACGACTATCAGTGGATTGGACTAAATGACAAGGATGTGCAAAATCAGTTTCGTTGGACAGATGGAAGCCCTTTGGTGAGACCACCTTCCTCTGAGATTCTTTCCAAATTGAGTGATGACTGTGTTCTGAGGCATCTGCAATATGTCATTATTTCAACCAGTGCTACTTTCTCTACAGGAATATGAAAACTGGAGACCCAATCAGCCAGACAATTACTTCAGCACAGGAGAAGACTGTGTTGTAATGATATGGCATGAGGATGGCAAGTGGAATGATGTACCCTGCAACTATCATCTTCCTTTTACTTGCAAGAGTGGACCTGGTAAGAAGAAGTGATAGACATTAGCTTCAGCACCAAGTCAGTCCTACCCAAATAGCAAAGTGAGCTATTAGCCTATCACAATAGCTATTGAATTTATTGTGTTATTTACTGTAATTATAACGCAGCTACATCAAACAACTTTGGTCTAATTACCAATGGACAATGAATATTATAAATTTAAAGGAACTACTATTTCTTTGTTTTAATGAAGAAAAATGTATTTTGCTATTTTGTTTGACTCTTTTTATTGTAGTCACATGTTCATCACCTCCTGAAGTGAAGAATGCCAGGATGTTAGGCAACAGCAAAGATCGCTACCCTGTTAATTCCATCATTCGATACCAGTGTGACAGTGGATTCACACAGCGCCACCTTTCAGTGGTGCATTGCTTACCTGATGGTCAGTGGCAGGAGCCTAAAGTGGAATGTATAGGAGGTAAGCATTTGCCACTCACACTAGAGGACAAAGTAAAGTTACTATGTTATGCTTCATAAAGTAAAGTAAAGTTCCTACTTCAAAGTCAACAAAAGTTTTGTGTCAATGTTATTACCTCTCTCAACAGGCAAAATAATCGACAAGCTCCAGAAAAGATCCCTCAAGACACATCCTAAAGCAGTCTATAGTCGGACGTGGACGAAGGTCCTCTAAACAACACAAAAAACACACCTCAAAACATCCAGTGGACTGTTATTAAAAAAGATCATCTGTACTTTTTGTTTATCTGTACTTTTTTAAAGTACAGGAATTTACTTTACCATTGGTGAAAGTATTGAAATGTTTCCTCCAGGCCACAAGGTGACCCTAATGCTTACTTGTGTGAACATTTTCCCACTTTCCCACTAACAATTTGCACAATCCTAAACTGTGATCTGTGGCTATGTTCGGAATGGAATACTAGCTTACTAACTGAATTTTGTAAAAAATTTGTGAAATAGTAGGCATTGACATGACCATCACATGACCTATTAGTCTGTATACAAGTGTTGCCAATAAAATTAGCATATTCTGCACAGTATACATACTACATAATGCAGCAATAGTATAGGTTGTATAGAATTATACGAACATAGCCTCTAATCCCCCAAAGACGCCCTCCCAATTTGCATACCCCTATTTCGTACTTAATGTACTTCACTGATGATTGGAAAATGCACATTTTTGAATATGTAGAAAGAAACACAATAACAGTATTAGGATCTTTTTTCATGTTTAGTATTGTCGCATGCTGTTTGCATTTGAATGTGTTAGTATCAAGCTCCATAATTACCTTAGCTTAACTTTTAGGTTCATATTTTTTACAAGTGGCTGCATTGGTCTTGCATTCCTTTTTATTTTTTTCTACAATTTAAAAAGAAGACACAATGAATTGTGGGCAATATTAGCCCAAAAATCACAGATGAACTCCAGAAATCTGCCAGAAATAGTGTACCATCCTGGCACCTTTGGCATATCATTTTCAGCATATTATGTTTTGGGATGTAAAAAAAAACAACCTTATCTGGCATACTATTTAGGGCAGATAGTATGCGAAGTGGGACAAAGTCCAAAAACAACTGTGTATTAGATAGCACAAAGGTAATATTATCTGTGTACCTCTGGGTAACACTAAAATTCAGAACAAGACAAAAGGCTTTAATGACCACAGCTGGACACAATTACATTTAAGTACATTAGTCTTTCAAACAATTGAATTAAGTGAATTATGTATGTTCTTTTTTATTTGTTTTGTTGTTTGTTGTAGTTTAAATGTCTAGTTGTGTCTCTGTGAAACTGTGAAAGATAAATTCCCCAGCTTTTTTCTTCCAATTCTAGGTCAAGTGGCATATACAAATTGTTTACTCAAGATTAGAATGATTTATTAATTTATTAATTCACTAGCTCATATGATTTGGCTTGGCCTCCATAACAGACTTAAGCTCTAATATGAATGTAACAATATTTTCCAATTTTGTAGACATCAAACCTAGTGTATGTCTATAGACATACTCATCCATATTCAAATGAACACAAAATGGCACAAGAATACAAGACAAGAATTTTTACATTGCCTAAAAAAGTTAAAATATCAATGATCAAATAAGCCAACACACATAGTTTGCGCTACAACGTTGATTGACAATCGCTTCCAAAAGAGCAATTGCACACTGTTCCAAGCAATATGTATCTCATTCATTTTGCACTCTGTCACTGTCAGCTCAACGCTGAGCTCATATCTGTCTTAGTACCCCTAAAATAAACAGACTAAATGTATGTGAATAAATGTATTTTTCTTTTAATACCAAAGAGTTGTAAAAGCTACTACAAATGGGATTAAATTAAAGTTTATGTATAATTTCTGTGCCACTAGCATCAACAAAATGTATTGCAAAAATAATGGCTATTTTCAAAAAGCTTTTCTAAAGACTCCCTCAGCCTGCCATTGGTCAAATAATCAGTCCCGCCCAAAATTTCTGCCACTGGATGAGCCACTGTTGCTGTTGTTGGGCTGATCAGGATGCTTAAACACACAGACCTACACTGTGTTCCCTTTTCTGGGAAACAAACCTACCAATGACTTACTTGTAGTTCTTTCTCCATGTTTAACTGCATGTAAAACATTTTAACATAAAAAACCACACACTTCACATTTAAGTGGTTGTATGGTGAGTTTATGTGAGAGAAAGAGAAGAAATGTTAAGAGAAACGTATGCTTGGAACTTAGCCTCTATTTAGTCAATATACAGTATAAACAGTAATTTTACCCCAAATTATCATAGGGATTATGTTTAATGTTTACTCTATCCAGGGTTCCCACAACCGGACCAATCTATTTCCAGAACTTATCCACGAGATTTTCAATTATTTGTGATTAACGAACTAGACAGAGATTCTGTGGAGACTGAACAATGGCAAAATCAACAAAAATTTCCATGACGTTTCAATTTTTTTTTTTTTTACATTTCATTGTTTCCAGGGCTGAAAAAAAAATCACAAATTTAAAGATTCTGTTATATTTTCATGCTGTACATTGTGCACCCAAATGGTGTTTGGACAAGTACATTACTGCTTTAGATAGAAAATATCAAATCAAGTGGCATCTGCAACAAATGATGCAATATTTTTTGGGGCCACTGTGTGTATTTACACTGTATACAGAGTCTTTAATGTACTACATACATAGTATCAAGCGTATATTGTCCAGAGACAGGTCAAAAAAGGACAGTTAATGTTGACATGACCCAACATTAAGTTACTCAACATCCAAGACCTCAATTATACGGCAAACAAAACAGGGCCTACTTCATGACTTTTTCTCAATGGAAAAGAAAAACCTATTACCTACCTCTCTTACCCAACACTGAGCATCTTTATGTGTATTTAACAGAGTGAAAAAGCCAGGCTGAGGAACACTGCTGGCTTTTCATGCGCTACTCCCTCCCCCGCCTAAAATCCATGTTTAGGAAGCAGGTGCAAATACGGTAAATCTTTGACGCCAAGGGATCATGAAATCCTGTGGAAAGGGTGGGATAATCATACTCCCTTTCCCCCCATAATTGGCTTAATACTAAAGCTAAACTCAGTGACACCTGTATGAAGGATGTTGGACTGCTCTTGAACCGAGTGTTGCTGTTGCTGTTTTACTTCTTTGCCGCGGGATCCCGCTGACTCACTTTGGCGAGTCATAAGAAACTCACCTGGATGTCATATTTATCTGGGACGGGACAAGGCTGACTTGTTTCAAAAACACAAACAGGCACTGTTTAGGTGATTTAGTGGGCGATCTGAACATTTGAAATGACTGAAGTAAACATACAGAATTGTTGTTGGGAAAAACTATTTATTGACAGGAAATCTGGCTTTTTGGATGATGACGTCTCAGATAATAGTAAGAAGTCATGCATACAAATAAGATACCAGCAGATGGCACCGACTAACTGATTATCTGCATTAAAATGCTACATAATACAAGCAATCAGATAATAAAAGTCTTTAAAGAATGACCCACCACCAATTTCAGGCTTTAGCCCTAAAAAAAAAAAAACATTGTAGACCTGTAGCCTACATGCTGTATAAACGAAATTACGTTCACAAAATTAGTTTAAACCTTCATTTTTTTTTTTACATTTTAAAGTGTAAATATCCAAATTAGCACTTGAAATGTAATTTTCCAACACAGTAGAACATTTTAAGGCAACTTTACACAGCTGAGTTAAGGCTGCTCTGTGCCTACTCAAAAGTTTGTGTGAAGACATAATGTCGCATAAAAGCCAGACTAAATTAAGCCAGCTCAGACCCACCACTGTCTCTAATATCAAAACACAGTTGTATTTGCTGTGTAAATGCATTCATGCTACCTCTGAGCAGCATTAAACAGTTTGTGTAAATGCCACTTCAGAAGCGCCTCTGTGCCATTGCAGTGTAAATTTGGTAGGAATTCCAGGACACTTCAAATCAAATCAAGACACAATAAAAAACACGTTATTACGATTCGAATATCAGTAGTATAGAAACAGAAGTACTGTTCACTGTGGTTTTCACAGAAGTGTTTATACATTTAAAATGAATTGTACATTTTACCAGTGGACTTTGTAGCAATACACGCCATGTTTTAAATGCTTCGGAGGAAAGCCAAAGCTGCGCACCCCTGGTTCTGATGTACCACAGTTCATCCTGGGTTGGATGATTGGGTAACGCACACTACCATCAGCCAACCAGCCCGCATCACACTGGTCCAACCCCACAAACCTCCAGGCTGCGTATAACTGGCCAACTTTAGCAATACGACCTCCTTCGTTCTGACAGACCTCCGCTGCCTCTGTGAAATTTAGTTTGATGGGATGTTGCAAGAAGTAGACCTCTCCTGACATTGAAGAAAGACATAAGGTACCTCGTCACGTGCATTAAAATGCTACATAATACAAGCAATCAGATAATAAAAGTCTTTAAAGAATGACCCACCACCAATTTCAGGCTTTAGCCCTAAAAAAAAAAAACATTGTAGACCTGTAGCCTACATGCTGTATAAACGAAATTACGTTCACAAAATTAGTTTAAACCTTCATTTTTTTTTTTACATTTTAAAGTGTAAATATCCAAATTAGCACTTGAAATGTAATTTTCCAACACAGTAGAACATTTTAAGGCAACTTTACACAGCTGAGTTAAGGCTGCTCTGTGCCTACTCAAAAGTTTGTGTGAAGACATAATGTCGCATAAAAGCCAGACTAAATTAAGCCAGCTCAGACCCACCACTGTCTCTAATATCAAAACACAGTTGTATTTGCTGTGTAAATGCATTCATGCTACCTCTGAGCAGCATTAAACAGTTTGTGTAAATGCCACTTCAGAAGCGCCTCTGTGCCATTGCAGTGTAAATTTGGTAGGAATTCCAGGACACTTCAAATCAAATCAAGACACAATAAAAAACACGTTATTACGATTCGAATATCAGTAGTATAGAAACAGAAGTACTGTTCACTGTGGTTTTCACAGAAGTGTTTATACATTTAAAATGAATTGTACATTTTACCAGTGGACTTTGTAGCAATACACGCCATGTTTTAAATGCTTCGGAGGAAAGCCAAAGCTGCGCACCCCTGGTTCTGATGTACCACAGTTCATCCTGGGTTGGATGATTGGGTAACGCACACTACCATCAGCCAACCAGCCCGCATCACACTGGTCCAACCCCACAAACCTCCAGGCTGCGTATAACTGGCCAACTTTAGCAATACGACCTCCTTCGTTCTGACAGACCTCCGCTGCCTCTGTGAAATTTAGTTTGATGGGATGTTGCAAGAAGTAGACCTCTCCTGACATTGAAGAAAGACATAAGGTACCTCGTCACGTCATATTTGGTGACTTAAAAATAACCGTGACTTAACCTCAGAAATGAATGGCAATAATTGATCCAAGGTAACAAAATACAACTGGCATATCAAGGCAAACAGCTTTAAAACATATGCATGACTGATTAAAACAAGGGAGAAGGCCATTTTTAATCCTTGTTGGCAGGTTCATTCAACTTGTCATCCTCAACTTATATATTTAAAATAGGAACATTTTCCAGAATGAGCAATTGCAGCCACATGCAGCCGGAATTACCACTAATTCATCTTTGTCCGATTTTAAAATGTAAAACACCTGTTGAAAGCACAACTATGGAAAATTGTAAATATTTGTCAAACAAAATTTTACGGAAACAAACCAGCGTAAGCCAGGACTGGATGAAGTTATATGAGGGTATATTAAAAACTCCACTAAATATATACAAACATTATTACCTCTAATGGACGAAGTGAAGCAGAAGGCATCAAATCGGTCTAGACTCTTGTCTCGAACGCCGTAGCTCCGTACACCAGGTGCCAGGTCGGTGCCACCACAAGCCTCTCGTGGCACTACGACAGGATATTGTGCCGTCCCATCCATGAGCCACCCAGCGTTACACCAGTCCAGCCCTTCCTCCCAAGCAGCGTAGAGCTGCTCAAAGGTAGCCAGGTGTGCATCCTGTTTCTCACATGCCTCCTTAGCCTCATGAAAGTTCATCAGATAGCGCCCCCTAGGGGAGTGATAGGGGAACACCACACCTGTGGAGAACAAGAGCACAAAGCACCACTGAATAAACATAAGATCAACAAATTTTGTTAAAGATAAAAGATAATTACAAATAATTAGAAAATGTAAGATAATTAGAGTTTGTCAGTTTGTTTGGGGATAAATTACACAATAAATAAATACATTACAAACATAGATTTTGGAGTTTAATATCAGTTAGAAAATAAATTGATGATATAATTTTTTATATAAATATTTGATCAAATACAATATTAATACAATACGCACCTCGAAATTTAAGATGCACTGTCACGCTCTCGTCCTCGAGACCATCAATAATTTCACACCGGTAACGGCCGGTATCGTCTGACTGTAGCGGGTTGATGAAGAGGGACGCATCGCCCGGAGCGCTTCGGCGGAGCCGCACGCGTCCTTTGAAGTCTCCGTAACTCCGGTGACGCGTGCCGATGGCCACCATGACGTCACGCTCCCGTCCCTCGTCGCTCACGGGTTGCCAGAACCACTTGACCCGCGTTCTGCGGGGCTCGCTGAGCACGGGCTCGTAGCGGTAATGACAGGGCAGTGTGACGTTACTCCCCTGAACAGCCGACACTAGAGTTTCAGGAGACTCGACGTGAAGACGGATCTTCTGGAAGTATACTAAAAAAGACATACATTAAGTAGGCGAAGTAAGTAAATAAATAAGATCTTCAAAAAGAGTAAGCAACTATTGTTTATTTTATTGTTTGTTTATTTGTTTAACTATGCAAAAGTGAAATAGCAGATTTGTGATGGAGCTCACATTTTGCTGATGTCTTAACCATCCTAAATGTAGGCTATATTATATACCATATAACCATATGATTCCCACTGAGTTTATAACAAATATTCTTGTTCATGAATTTTAAACAATTAAAAAAAAATACAAAACAATTCATTCAATGAAAAGTGACAAAAGTTAGCATTTTGTTGGATTCTACTACATGTCATATATCAGCAAGCTAGTTTTTGGTTGCTGGTTTGTTATTTTGCACGCATGAGTAACTCATAAATAAACCAACATACTCTCCCCATTGTCATTTCCATTTCCATTAATTATATCCTGATAATAATAGCCATTGGAGAATCGCTGTGCACCGCTTCCGAGGACCAGGTGCATTAAAAGCACCAGCAGATGGCGTAAAATCCTCATATTCACGGTGATTCCCTGTATCCCGCTGCTTTCCAACAGTGTCCTTGAATTTTAAGACAACCTAAGATGTGTGAAGATCAGCAAGGAGTTCAGCAAACAAATGTGACCCTGGACCACAAAAGCAGTCTTAAGTCGCTGGGGTATATTTGTAGCAATAGCCAAAAATACATTGTATGGGTCAAAATGATAGATTTTTCTTTTATGCCCAAAATAATTAGGATATAGATCATGTTCCATGAAGATATTTTGTAAATTTCCTACCGTAAATATATCAAAACTTCATTTTTGATTAGTAATATGCATTGCTAAGAACTTCCTTTGGACAACTTTAAAGGTGATTTTCGCAGTATTTAGATTTTTTTTGCACCCTCAGATTCCAGATTTTCGAATATTTGTTGTATCTCGGCCAAATATTGTCCTATCCTAACAAACCATACATCAATGGAAAGCTTATTTATCCAGCTTTCAGATGCATGGTGTATAAATCTCAATCTCAAAAAATTGACACTTAAAACTGGTTTTGTGGTCCAGGGTCACAAATCTAACTCAACATATTTCACGAGTCAACAACTTGAACACTTTTGAAATCTGATTTATTTAAAAAAAAAAAAGAGAAAAAAGAAAAGAAAGTTTGATTTGCTCGCCATAAACGAGATCATCATCAGATAGTTACTTCAAGAACTGCATGAATTGCTGGTTAAACGATTGAAGAAGCAAAAGTCATCTAGCTATACAATTAAGCCACATAAAAGGTAGTTTTACGACAATAGTAAAATGCTATCAAATTGATACAAAACACAAAGATTTAAAGTCACAGCCGATAGCGTTTGTTGTTGCATTAATTGTAGCATTCAAAGAATCTGCTAACATGCACATTCATGAAATAATAAACGCATTTTCGC